CCCACCTCGGAAGGATGGAAGGCTGAGTCAACCCTGAGCCGGTGAGATTTGAACCGCTGACCTGCTGATCTAGCAGTAGCCTGCAGTGCTGCATTTAACCACTGCGCCACCTTGGCTCTTGACAAATTTCCAGGTGCTGGATGTGAGACTCTTTTGGGGGGATGGCCGGGTGCTTCTCTATCTTCGCCTTTCTATCAGCTTCTGGTTTTTCTTTTGAAATGTTATTTTCTTCTCAAAAGTCAAGCGGTTAATTTCAACCACCCCCTTCCAAAAGTAAACAATTTCCAGGATCCATTCTGAGTCGATCACCGCAACCAAAGTTTTATTCTTCCAAGCGTTCGGGCTCATGCTGGAGCCCATCCTCAGGGAACTTCTCTCTCTCTCTCCAGAATATGCCACAGATTGGAACCTGCAGGATTTATGCTGGAACACATATGTTTACCTTCATTCCTGTAAACTATTTAAAGCCCAGACCTTAGCAGTGAGCAGCAGCAGCCAAAAAGACAAATACAATCCTTGGTTGAATAAACAGAGGCAAAATCCCCATTTCCTCCAGATCAGCTAGGACTCGGGAGAGGTGGTATTTGCTGGTTCTCCAAACTACTCAAAATTTCCGCTAACGGTTCTTCAGACAACCATTTGTCTGAAATGGTAGAATTTCTTTCTTGAGCAGAATGGATGACTAGAAGACCTCTAAGTTCCCCTTCCAATTCTGTTATTCTGTCATCTGTTTCTCATTTTACCCCTTCTACAGAGAACGTCTGAGGTGGATCAGTGGGAACGTCCCCGGTCTGAATTCCAACTCTGGAGGAAGATGGGCGAAGGATGTTTTGGAGAAGTGTGGGAAGGAATGTGGAAGAACACAGTGCCTGTGGCCATCAAAATTATGAAACAAGGTTTGTGGGGCGCAGGAGACGTCTCCTCCCTTGCGCAATGCGCCTCGTCTGCCTGTTTCCTAAGAGGTGGATTAGTCAAATCCTCCACGAGTAGACCAGAGCTGAACGGTGGGGGTCCCAGATTGAATCCACCAACTGAGCAAAAGGGAATGAGAATGACTTCCCCCAGCTCGAAATTAGATGGAGAAAATGATAAGCCATGATAGCAATAGCAATAGCAATAGCAGTTAGACNGTGGGCCCTTCGCCGTTCCCGGAAGTTACTTACTTCCGGGTTCGCCGACCAACCGGTTCGCAGGGACCGCCGCAAACCGGTTGAAACCCACCCCTGATTCTCAGGGAATCATGGGAAATGTTAATTTCCCATCAAACATGTGCGACATCCTTGTGGTTGGTGAGATCACCTTTGGTTCGGCATATTCTGGACACTTTTCCAGGGAATTGTTCAGATTGGAGAGAGCTCAGAAGACAAATATGACTTGGAGACTTCTTATAAGGGCAGGCTGGGTGAAACCAGGCTTAACTAATTTCCATTGTTTTTAAGTACAGTGACAATAAAGATTATACTTCTACTTAATAGCAGTGATTGTGAGAGGGATCTTGGGAGTCTTAATGGACAACCAGCTAAATATGAGCCAGCCATGTGCAGCGCCAGCCAAAAAAGCCAAGGTAATCCTAAATTGCATTAACAGAGGTATACAATCAAGATCAAGTGAGGTACTAATACCACTCTATAAAGCCCTAGTAAGAATACTGCATCCAGTTTTGGTCAGCACTAGAGATGGGTTGTTGCCGGTTCAGCCCGGATCAGCCGAACCAGTAGTAGCAGCGGTGAGAGGCTTTGCCCATCCGCCCAGACACTTCTGCGCTTGCGCAGAAGCGTTGCACGCACATAAGAGCGTGTGCGGGAGTGCACCCAAACCGGTAGTAAAAAAATTGGCAACCCATCTTTGGTTGGGTTGTATAAAAAAGATGTTCAGATTCTAGAAAGAGTGCAGAGAAGAGCAACCAGGATGATGAGGGGACTGGAGGCTAAAACATATGATGAAAGGTTATAGGAACTGGCCATGGCTAGTCTAGTGAAGAGAAGGACCAGGGGAGACATGAGAGCAGTCTGCCAATATTTGAGGGCCTGCCACAGAGAGGAGGGGGGTCAATCTATTTTCCAAAGCACTTGAAGGCCAGACAAGTAACAATGGATGGAAACTGATCAAGGAGAGATTCAAGCTGGAAATGAGGAGAAATTTTCTGACAGTGTGAGGAATCAACCGATGGAACTGTGGGAGCTTCATCACTGGAGGCTTTCAAGAAGAGACTGGACTGCCATTTGTCAGAAGTGGTGTAGGGTCTCCTGCTTGAGTGGGGGTTTGGACTAGATGACCTATAACAGTGATGGCGAACGTTTTTCTGTTTGGGTACCAAAGGCATGCCCATGCGCTGCATTAACTACTAGACTTGTGATGGCGAACCTATGGCAGATGTGCCATAGGTGGCACACGCAGCCATATCTGAGGTCACGCGAGGCGTTACCCTATGTCATCTCCAGCGCCCATGCGTACACTGGCCAGCTGATTTTTGGCCATCTGGAGGGCAGAGGGTAGGGCAAAAACACCCTCCCCTGCCCTCCGGAAGGCCAAAGATCAGCTGGCCAGCACACACATGTGTGCTGGAGCTGACATAGGGTAACGCCTCCCGCGCCCTCAGATGTGGCTCCGCGTGCCACCTGTGGCCCATGTCCCATAGGTTCGCCATCACAGACCTATAAGGTCCTTTCCAATTCCGTTAATCTGTTAACATCCATCCTACAAAATATATTCCAGAAAATGGCTATGAAACTTGGCAGGGTGAGCCCGGAGAAATGAACACCAATTAAAGACATGCTATCGGTGCTCAGATACGTAGAAACCTGCCATGAGGAAGAAGGTCAGGAATTATTTTTTTCATGGTCATTGAAACCAGGACCAGAAGTAACAGATGTAAGTGGCAGGATCCTCGCTCAAATATAAGCAAAAATTCCAGATGTCGGCCAAGTTTTATCCACATGGTAGGTACAGTATAAGTGATAACACTACCTAGACAGGTAAAGTAAAATTCTGGAGTTGGCTCTGGGTTCACCACCTCAGCAGGATCTTGAGGGCCTCTCACAGAGAAGAGGGAGTCAACAGTACCTAAGGGCAGGGCGAGAAGTAATGAGTGGAAACTACGGTATTTTTCGGAGTATAAGAAGCACCAAGATTTTGAAGAGGCAAATTAAAAAAAAAAAGTTTTTGCACTCTGCAGGCCTTCCCCAAAATGGCCCGTTTTTTGCGGAAAAAAGGGCCCCCTTTTTTTTAAAAAAGGGCATGAATAGCCTTTAGGAGATTTGTAGAGTGCTCCTGGGGGGTGCCCCCCCCAAATGAGCAAAAAAACGGCCCATTTTTCGCTCATTTCTGCCCTCCCCAGCCCCAAGGAGCACTCTGGAAGCATCCTAAAGACAATGCATGGCCATTTTGGTGACTCTGGGTTTCATGAGGCAAAAAATGCTGTATCTGACGCACCCAGATTTTCAGCCTCTTTTTTGAGGGAAAAAGGTGCGTCTTATACTCTGAAAAATACGGTAATCAAGGAGAGAAGCAACCTAGAAATAAAGAGAAATTTTCTTGACAGCCAGAACAATTAATCAATGGAACAGCTTGCCTCCAGAAACTGTGGGTACGCCAACACTGAAGGTTTTTAATAGCAATATCAGTTAGACTTATATACCGCTTCATAGGGCTTTCAGCCCTCTCTAAGCGGTTTACAGAGTCAGCATATTGCCCCCAACAACAGCCCGGGTCCTCATTTTACCCACCTCGGAAGGATGGAAGGCTGAGTCAACCCTGAGCCGGTGAGATTTGAACAGCCGAACTGCAGTCAGCTGAAGTAGCCTGCAGTGCTGCATTTAACCACTGCGCCACCTCGGAGGAGGAGGAAGGAGTATTAGATACTTTCGCCACCTTAAGTTACTGCTAAAAATACTAAAGATGGAAAATAAAAGCAAAGTAAAATAAAGTGAAGTGTAAACAAAATAAGTAAAGTAAAGTGTAAATAAAATAAAATATCACAGAGCTGAGTGGAAAGCAATGCTGGTGGATACTAAACTAAAGGAAGGGAAATTGCAAACTTGACCCAAATCGTATCATCTTCTCCTTCAATCTTCAGTTCGCAACCATGGCAAAGTGCGACATTTCAGAATCTTCTCGAATCCTGCCGGAAGTTTTTACTTGGAAAAAGCTCACGTCTTCCCGAGTCTGGAAGAGCTCCTTGCTTATTACAGAGCCAACTGGAAAATCATTGACTGCCCTTTGTCTCAGCCTTGCATCCAGAAGGTAAGTAGAAGAACATGGCACCACTATGTGATTTTTTTTCCTCCACCCCTGACAATAGCAATAGCAGTAGACTTATATACCGCTTCATAGGCCTTTCAGGCCTCTCTAAGCGGTTTACAGAGAG